TCTTGCTCAGTTGCCCAGCTGAAACAGTTTCCCAAGTCTGTCTACCAGGCACATTAGGGAAGCTTTCTTAAGGATACACAGGCTCTTCCTTACAGAGGTAAGAATGCTCAGAGAATTCTATTGTATAGAAAACTTATAACTTATCTTGTATTTTTTTCTTTTTTTCCTCCAGTTAATTATTATAGCTAGACAATAGTGTAAAAAAAAAAAAAAGTTAGCATTTATTTCTTCTATTTATGGAGCAAGTGCAAAGTTTTTACAGGCATGACCTCTACACCTACACAAAGTATATTGTGACTGTAGGTTGTATTTTAAGGTTATATTTAAGACAAATAAAAGAGTTCTGTATTTTTTAAGCCTCTGCTTTACACATGAAGAAATTAAAATATTTAAAGTATCTTGCACTTTTTCTCCTATGCACATAAAGATGTTTACTACTGTGCTATCGTTTACACTGTGTCTTATCCAAGGGCATRTAAGTTATATGAATGCCTTCTTGCTTTAGTGTTGTAACATTATTGTGTCCTCAGGATGTTTTGATTCTTTACCAGGTTTCTGCTTGTTTTGTTTTGCTGCTCAACACTAAACCCGTGTTCTTGGCAGGAGTCACGAATTCCTATCCGAAATCAGAAGCTCTGTATTCTGTAACACAGGTACAGGGATTCACTTTTAAGAGCAACCCATTGTGAGGCTTCTCCTCACAGGCTGGACTATTGTACATTTTGCTCAGCACATGATGCAGTATGCCGCTTTTTGCTCCTTATTTGAGCAAGAGGGAAGAAAGTGAAGTGTTTCATTACTTTCCAGCAGGCTGTTTTCTATTTCTGCCTCTCAGTCACACAATATCCTGTGGATCTGGCTTCAACTGAAATAAGAAGGCAAGAATCCAGAAGTACTTATCAAAATTTTGCAATACAAGTTAAAACATATTCTAAACAGCATCTGATTTCTAGGAAAGAAATTGGGAGTSGGTGAAAGCATAGGAGAGTCACAGAAACGGTTTAGAAGTAACACACAACCAACGTACCAGGCAAGAAAGGAAGCTGAAGGGCCCTGTAAAGAACAGAGAAACCCACCTAAAAATGTCTGAATAGCATCGCCAAGCTGACCAGGTTAGATGGTGGAGAAAAGGTGCAGGTGATGCTGACTACAGAGATCACAGCACGAAACTCTACTGTATGCAGCCTTACAAGCTGGTACAGAAGTGTGTGTGTGTATGTGTGTGCATATATWTATGTAAGTAAATCTTCAAGTGTGGCTTTTCCACTCCTATTCAAAGGCCACAGGATTGTTTCCCTGCAAAGTAGTATTGAATAAATAACATTCCATTCTGGATGATTAAATTGATTTGAAAAAAATTATCTTGCTCTCTGCACAAGGTATCCTGATGAACTTTTTTGCCTGATAAGGAAAAAATAATTATATTGCTAATGTGGGAAAACATTCATTTTTGGGATTATTTTCCATGTGTTAAGCAACTAATAAAAGTTGCTTTGAAACCTCTAAGGTGCAGGATCATCTAGYGATGTGTAAAAATGCACTGTTTTACACTATGTAACAAACACCATTCAAAGAAGTTCATATTTTTAGTTAAAAGATGTCATAGAGAGATCTCAAGTACATAAAAGACGTATTCTGTGTGATTATTTTAAGAAAACATTTTTATATGTCTTAGAGGTTCAAGTCTCCTTAATTAAGATTACTTTAATAAGCATAATGGTTTAGTACTGTTAAGCTTTTCATAGAAGACTACAGAATCTTTTCTACCTTCTTCCTATTGAATTTACCTTAAATGAAAAAAAAAAAAAAAAAAAAAAAAAAAAAAAAAAAAAAAAAAGACAGGGAGTCTTCAAGTTGATCTGTCAGATCAACAGCAGGAGGCCAATATTATGATGGAAACATTTTTAAAATGAGAAATACCTCCAGCCACTACAAGATTGAAAATAAATAGTCACCCTTGGTGAAGGAAATTATTTGAAGCGTGGTYCTCTGTGATTAGCAGAGATCATCTCCCATTGTGCTGTAAATCTTCCCACATGGATTGCCACCACTTAGTCCTGTGCAGAACCTACTATCACTGTCACATTCTAGGATACTTAGAAAGGGTACATACAGTAAAGAATATCAAACAACCTGCAAATACTGATAGAACAGCAGAGAATAGAAATGGCAAATTATTATGCAAGAGTAATATGGTGGGTTTGAAAACGAGCCAAGAAGGATAATCTTGTAATTTTTGAAAAGCCAATGAAATGTTAAAAAAGAAACCAAATTAAAAGTATTTGTTGACACTAAAACACCATCAATAGTCAGTGTACCTCGCTACTACATTGGTAAAAGGAGAAATAAAAAAGCCTTCAGCTTCCCTGAAGAATCTGCACAGATGACTCTGGCAGTTCCAATAAGACATGGGCAAATTAATGCTATTCCAGACCAGGTCCACACTGGAAACACAATATTCTGAACAAGAGCTCAAGGGAAAGAAGGGATTGAGTTGTGTTCTGAGGCAGGAAGGAGCTTCATGTGAGCCTGGGCCTCAGCAGAGGAACTATTTGAAAATCTTAAGGTATTTGTTATTTTGTAATATAGAGAGTCTTCCTTCTGCTCAAAAAAGCGTGAAAACGTAACTGTTAACACACGTAAAGGCAACGTCCAGTTTCATTTTTTTACCCTAATATGCTTGACGTAAAAAAAAAGACAAAATTATTTACTAGAGCAAACTTCACTCCTGATTTTTAAGACAAACTGGTATTCATAACTAGTTAAATCACATTCTATCCAAATAACTATTTGTCTTTAAAAATAGCATCTATATACATTACAGGGAATACATTTTCTTTCTTTGTCCTATCATCCCTAACATGTTGTATATGGTCAGGTTCCTCTCTTCTGGGTCATTCACACAGCAAAATTTGCTTGTAAATTCTACAATATAAATAAGGGTCACGGCAGAAGCCAATACTGAACATGAAAGGCATGCAAAAGAAATGTAATGCTGGAAAAGAGAACATTCTTCAGTGACCAGGTCTAAAACTGAACTTGAATTTTCATGAGGTTACAGCTAACCTCCTTTTCATCAGAAGCCTTTTTCACACTTTTTATCCTTTCCTTTTTACGTGTTGCTTTTTCACTTGTTTATCTATATGTATGCACACCTTAGATTACACAGAAAAGATGACACATTTCATCTTAAGTTGTGGAATGTATCTTGTTTTGCAGTTGTTTTATAGTCCACCACTAACAATTACTTCTGCAAACGAACCGAGACAGAAAAGAGATGTCCCTCAAGTTGGCAGCCTGACTCTTTTTAGTATTAAAGCATTTTGTAGCTGACTTTTTTAGACTAGAACATTTTGAAAGGACAAAATTCTGTATTAATTCTCCCTTGCAGATGGCTCATTTATAACTACTTGTATTACAGGAGACGCAATTTACARCTGTCTTGGACAGACTTGTAAGTATATTTTGTTAAGAAAACTGTAGCATTAAATTTAATCATCTTGATGTACAAATATTTACAAAAAAAGATAAATTCTCCTTCACACCCCACTGCTTGCCATCCATGCATTGTGTTTGCACTTCAGAGAGCTACAAGAAAGGTAAATCAGACGTTCTTGATAGATGGGGCGAGCGTTTTGCCTTGGACATCACAGAGCAGATGGATGGTTGGATGAGGACTGCCCAGCACCTCTCATCCTGCAGTGTCTGTGATCCAGGGGGTGCTCACGGCTGCACAGGCAGCCCCCGGGTCAACAGATGTGCACAAAGCAGCTGCTGCCCCTAACTGCTCATTCCTGAATCCCTGCCAGGTACCAGCTCCACGCTCAGAGTTAACTGATCGTCTAATGAGATCACCCTTACCCTTATCTATTCACTGATCCGGTGTTCAGAAGGCAAGAGGGAAAAAAGAGAACACCAGCAGCAAGGCTCAGCTGCAGCCGGTAGCTCAAGGTCTCCTGTAACAGCCTTGCTCCCTGCCTCTCTTCAATGCTTATGTCTGGAGGAGATGCAAAGTTACTTATCTCTCTCATCTATTTGCTTATTTRGGCCGAAGACAAATAGGGAAATTAAGTATCGCGTCTTTGGAAAGTATTTGGCACAATCTGTGCTGAATCCTCTGTTCCTGAATCCCCAGTCCTCTGTTCTTTATGTTCCTTAATTCCAGAAGTTGGATGCTTGGCTCAATATCACTTCAAAAACAGAGTGTTAATACACATGATAAACCTATTTGTTGTGGCAGCCCTGTTTAGGAGAGATATATCACGCTAATAACATACCAAAAATACCAATATTGTGTTAAAACAAGATGGGTATTTTTTTGCTTATATATTCTGGAGTACACATTTCCTCTGTAAAGAGAATATTCAGATAGATGCAACCSTCATGGCATGATCCTGCCTACCACGGGCATAATGATGCACTCACAAAGACTATGCATTGAGCTGCTGCAACCTTGGTCAGACTACACAGTACCTGTACCACTGATCACTGCTTCCTCTCACCCTGCACGCTCAGAGCTTCATTTCACAAAAACAGGAGATGCAGTGAAGACACAGGAAGAGCACAAAGCACTTCCAGAAACTCATCATTTAGATGCCACTGAAAGGTAGATACAAAATGGACTCTAGGGTATAATCAACATCAGTTATTCTTACTTTGTCAAAACAATAATAATTTACATTATCCATTTTACTAGTGTATTTGTAAAATATACAATGATTGCCTACTTAAATTCTTGGAATGAAGCCAAGACATACATACAGTCTCCTCAACCAAACTCATTTTAATTTACAGTACAGATGGTATGGAAAAACATAGCTCAGAAAAAAAAAAAAGTACTTTAATTTTACACTATTTTAATCATTTTTCACCATTTCTTTTATCTTAAAACAAGATCACTTCAAATAAAGTATGTAGTCAAAACCACCMAGACCAACTGGACTTACTAGTGGACTTCTTGTAGTATTAGTAGTTTGAATTTTATATACATAAATATATATATATACACACACATCCACATGTGTGCGTGTGCACACATATACACAGATACAGTTCCACCAGTAGAGTATATCAGTCATTAATTGTCACTGTCTTACCTTAGCATAATCAAGACTCAGCACTTTCCAAGTAAATGCATGCCATCAAGTCAGAAAACTACAAGAATCATCTCTAAATTAAGGTCTAAAAGTCAAAATATTTTGTGCTGTTTCCCGAAATAACACCTATGACCAGCTAGTTTACACATATACACACAAATACGTTAAGTCAATATTGACATAAAAACTCTGCTCTATCTTCAGTTAGTGTCTATGCTTAAAATTACACAGGTTACATTCCCTACATCCTTGGTGCCAGGGACAAGAGCGTGACAGGAGCAGGACGTGGGTGTCAGCGGACAGATTAGACTCCTCCTTTCCCTGCCTGTACCCTATAGGGCTTCCCACAGTGGAGGTGAGGCTGGTCTGCAATGTCCCCATAAAGAATTTCTTGTTAGCCAGATGCTCCAGCTAAGCCACTCTTCCCTCCTTGGTAAATTTACGTAGAGGGGAGAAAAAAAAATGAAGCTTTAAAACAATCTGCTTGAATACTCTGACTTACCATGTGTTTGTTGAGGTTAGAGAGTGGTTTTGTTGAACGGTGCACCATCCAAAGGGAAGTAAAGTCCAGGTCAGGGGCCTGTGGAATGGGCTCCATACCCTACTGAGAGCAAAAGGATGCAGATGAAAGACTGGTTGTTCACATCACGGAACCACAAACATGACGGGGCTGTTTAGCCAAGGAAACAAGGTGAAAGCCCAAGTGTTTGGGGCTGCAGCACCAACTGCTTCTATCTCAGGATCCTGTKCAACAGGACAGTTAGGAAGGTACTGCCAATTCTGTAAAGATCATGGACACTCTACCTATTGTATAGAGAAATATTATTCCAAATAACATTGACAACAACTTTAAAGTGAAAATGTTGGAAAAGCACTACCTGATGATTTCTAAGGGCACAGGACTTTCAATCCCATCTTATGCAAAACTGTTCCTCATGTCTCTTCTTGCTTCAGAGCAAAGTTCTAATGACCATCCCTCTATTTTGTTTCATCCTTACATTAGGAAGTGGTGGCCATGCAATTATCTGTATAATGATTCGAGGTCAAACTAGTTTGATCTACTGCAATCTATTTGGAGTTTATCTCTTTCCAATTTTTTTTTTTTTTTATTTGCCTCTCAGAGCGTGCAACTGAGCTCTTCCAAAGTTGGCTGCAGTACAAAAAAGCTTTCAGACATACTGGGATAAAGACCTAAAAGGAAACTGCAAACCACACCTTTAATTCTTTAATTGCTAACTAATATTTTTAGACTTCAGSGTTAATTTGCAAGAGGGACAGCGGTATATATAACCAAATGTAAAAAATAAACAGGTAAGATGTAAAGCTTTGAAGGAAAAAAATCTTGCTAGAGAAATAAAGCTGTGAGACAAAGTATGAGCAGGTAACCAAAACGACATGAATAGACTGCATGAGCAAGTGAAAACAGGACATGGAGGGCTATGTTCCTGGCTCTGGAGTTTCTGGCTCTGTGTCTGTAGTGTGTTCACCTTAATTTCACATCTGTGTGGGGTGTATTTWTATCAATTGAAAACTAGAAGACACAAAACAACAACAAAGAGTTTTAAAAACCTAATGGACTTACAGCTTTAAAGCAGCAGAAGGAGCAGCTTTTCGTATCAAAGAAAAGAAGTGGAATCCCAGCCTATCAGCCACAAATTTCCACATCGAACCGTGGGCTCAACAAACTAGCACGYAACTCAGCAGGGAGGACAGACTCACGTTGCAACACAAAGAGCAGGGAAAGGACCTGCCTTGAGCAGATCTGGTCCTTTTCCTCAAAACCCAGCAACCAGGACAAGATAAATGAAGCCTTCCAGTCGACTACACCACTATACCTTTTAAAAATAGAATATAGACTGAWTTTTAAGCAAATTCCTTTAACAGAGCAAAGTTCTGGTGAACAAAASTTCACTAGATACTGGGTGCTTAAAAATGATCATGTATTTAGATATTTTGCACATGCAAATATCTTTTATATTTAAGATAGATGCTTGAGAGTTGATTTTCCTTTAATATGTCCTATGGTAGCAAAATTCAATAAAGCAACTATCCAGGCACATTTTTCATTCCAGGAAATCTCTTCTGCGGATGCTCKTTCTTTCCTTTCCTGCCTAGTCAATTGGTTGCCCCTTCCACTGTACCTGGAAGTCACACATCCCTTGGTATGATGCTCAAGCTTTGGTTCTGTATTTTGTTAATAGGCTACTGTCCTTCCCCAGAAGGATTTTGCAAATTCCACAACGTCYAAGAAGGCTAAGAACAAACTGTAAGGATTAGACATTTTGTAGGTTTTCTGTTTGCTTATTAGGCACAAGGAGCCTGATCTAAATGAGTTCTGCCTTCTCTCTTTATTTTCCTCCCTATAATCTTTCTTGCTCAGATGTAATTCACATATGAAAAGAAAAAGCTGAACAAAAGAAAAAATGTTAAATCATTGTTCTGCTTTAGTTTCTCAATCCCTTGAGTGGTTCCCAACCCAGAAGCACTTCTTTATTCCTTTCATTCCAATTACCGTTTAACCATCAAATGAAATAACTGGCAAAAGAAATAAGTTATGCAATATATAGCATTCCACTGGAAATATTAAGCAGCTTTGACAATAGGATATTTGACAATGCTGAGAAAGAGATAGAAGCAATTAACATCAAATTGTTACTTTTCTCCAAAGGAAAATATTTGTTTAATTCAACAATTCAAACGAAAAGAGAAATTTAATTACAACAGTGTTTTATAACCGCCTGTCCAGATTAACAAAAAGTGCAGACRTTTCTCTCTGGAGTCCTATTCAATTCGAATGTGAAATATAGATAAGTTGGTAAAAGAACAGAGTATGCGATGATAACCCTCACATTCCTCAAATGTGTAAAGGAACTCATTTCATAAAAATATTACACATGGCTATTAAGCTCCATAAATGATGAGCACTGTTGTTCTTAATTAAACAAAAAACCATCTTGAAGAAATAAATATAATCATTTTTTCCATCTTTTTTATTTAAGGCTGCAAGTTTAGCATAGGCTTGGTCTGCAATTGCRCTTGTCTGGACCCTGCTGCAAGCTGTGAACTGTGATTGTGTCAAGTGGAATGTCCAGCAAGATAAGGGGGGCAAATCTGCCCTATTCCCCCGTCCTGGGGCAGTGCTAGCCTGCTAAGAAGTCAGGTGGCAAGAAGAACAGGCTCTCGTCTTGCCGTGCAACCAACATGAACCTGATGACAACTCCCAAAATCTGTTTCTACTGCAAATTGCCCTCTCTCATCGCATGGGAGCATTTCTCCTAGCCTAACATAGGACAAAACCKGTCATAGTTGGACAGAATTACAAGCAGTATGAACTGGCGCTGYGTTTCTTCACTGTGGAGGTGGCCAAATGACATTCGACACCACATCTCTAAAGTGTTGAGCGCAGCTTTTGGTCTACTGACAATTTTGGTCTTGTGCAATGTCTCAGGAGGTATCATCAGTTCTAGTTTTAGCCATATTAACTAAATAGCTGCTTGCTGTCCTTCCAAACATGATCTTATGCTTAGAGTAAACCAGGCTTCTGCTTTTTAGGCACAGTGTGGCTCGAAGAGACAACTCTGTAAGGCCGCATCCTGCCACACGACGGGCAGTGTCACTGACCGCAGCCACTGTTCAGCAGCAAAGGAACTACAGAATCTTTTAAAACACCTTTTAAAACTAGAAACACTGACACTAGAGATGTGACAACAATCAGTCCCTCCCATTTTACTTTTCATTTCAATTCTACTGTCATTTATTGATGTTTATAGAGAATAGTTGGTTAACTCAGAGTGCATGTTCATTGCTGGGCTGCGTTTTCTCACAAGCTGAATAGCAACATAGAGACTGGGGCAGAAAARCTACAAAGGGAGGAAATGCAAGGATAGTGTTCTGAGAGAACAAAGAATGAAAGTTGATTTAATTTAAGAAATGAGATTTCTATAGACAATTTGGAATTACCAAATACACAAAGGTCTCTTTCAGAGAGAATATGGGAATATTCATTTCCTGGCTTGATAAAACCAACTTTAACTGTACTTGAAAGTTTGATTGAAGCAGGCAGCTTATTACCATTAAGTAATATAATACAGGAGGAAAAAAAAAGCAGTTACACATTAAATGAGCTGGTTCAGTTAAAACTGCAGCTGCTTCCAGTAAACTCCATCTTTTGAATAATAAAATTATTGGGCAATTAAAAGCAATTGCCACTTCTGTTTTCCTAMTGATAAACATTATAAAAACCCTCAGAACCACCGATTTTTCCTGTTTATAGCTGAGCTTATCATCATCCAGCAAACTATTCTGCGTAGGTCACACTGGATTTGCAATTTAAGCTYAAAAACAGCACTGCAACAGAATCAAGTGATTTCTCTTTACTTCCAATGATAAAGCAATTCATATTACTATAGCATCTTACTATAAATATGTGACTTTATTGAATGAGTTTACAACACAACGCACGACTTTTTTTTACTGCGATCTGTGGCCAAGTCACAGYGCCAGTTTCAGTCCATGTTTGAACATGCTTAACCATGACTACCTAAGCCAAATGGTATGTTTCTGGGCAAAATTTTTCATTTTAAATAAGATCAGTATTATCTTATAAACTTGAGATCTCACCCAATGTACCTCACCTGCACATACTGTGCTGAGCAGCCCTGAAACCCCACAAATACAGTATTACCACTGCTAACTATATGGTATATGGCATAGACTTTCTATCTAACACATATAGTCTCACAACGGAGGCTTGTCAGGCTTTATATGAACTCAGTCAGCTCCTGCATAGGCTCTGTATATAAAACCAGCTATGGGAAGAATCTGCATTATATAGATATATGTACATATAACTGGGACATTCCCACTGACACATCTTCATTCTGATCATCCAGAGAAGACAACAGGGTGATGCAGATGGTCCTCTGCTTATTGGGCATACATGTTCATCCTTGCTACTGGCAGCTGCAGCTTATATAGGTCTAAGATTTGGCAGCCTCTAATTCAGTAAATAATTTCGGTTCTTCRTTTTTAATTTCTTAAAACAAACAAACGAACAGACAAAAATGCATTCTGCACTTAAGCAAATAGATTTCACAGGGAAATTCTGAAGTCCTACCATCAACTTCTATTAGCAACCACTTGCTGCTACTCTGGTTCAAATTGTTTGCCAAAAAACAGGAGAGCACAGCCTATTCATAGGCAAGCTAGAAATGTCATGACTTACCTGAAGAGCAAGTGCACAGCAGCAGTTATCAGCCCTCATGAGCTCAGCCRCAGGACGGATTCCTCAGCCACTGGCTCCAGCAGAGCATTCATGATAGATTGTTACCTGCACTGGGGCAAAACGTAACACAAAATTTATTAGTCCTACATAAAACCAGAAAATGGATAAATGCTTCAGTACATATGACAGAAAATATTTCTTCTTCCATATCTGTTCCAGATTATAATGCATATATTTAAAATTTGCAATATTTTAACCTCCTTATTCTAAAGGCAGTATAAGGTCTCTCCGTAACCTTTTTCTCCTTTATCTTTAGAAATCTGGAAAGTGACACAAAATAGAGAGCTGTGTTAGTGCAGGTAGATAGGGCTCTACCTGCAAAGTACCTTTAGTTTAAGTTTATTGACCAATAAAATGATCAAAACAAATGTAGAGCAAGAGTGGTCTTTAAGGCGACAGTTAATTGACTGCAATAAATAAAATACCAATCTTTTCAGATACTGCTACTGGATTAAAATGGGCAGCTCTTTATGGAAGGTGATTCCCCAYGAAAACTTCAAAGCCCTTTCCCCTCTGCTCTAACATACCATATCAAACTTCTAAGTTCAGTATATGCAAATACGAAAAAAAAAAATCTGATCTTAAAACAATGTAAAATAACAGATTTACTCTAASAGGCTTAATAGTTAGAAATCTATAGAATACTCTAAGAAGTCAGTTGTATAAGATGAGTTGTTTCACACTTCAACACATGCTAGCAGGAAGGGATGCCCTGAGTGTAGAGAATGTCACCCTATCACACCCAGGGAAGCTCTTTCACCACCATTTCACAGGGAAAAAGAGTCTGAAAACCTGTTCTCTTGAGTGATCTCTAAGGTCATTCCTGTTCTACGTTTCTAACATCCTTGGGCAGCACTCTGTACACTCCAAGGTCAGAGAAGGAATATGGTTTTTTTTTCTATTATTATTAATATAACAGATAATGGGACTAACATGGGCATCTCACTGCTGTTAGAAAGGGAAGACAATGATCAATACTGGAGTGTGAAGTGGGTGCTTTAAAAAGGACCAGAGACCACAATGGGGCTAAATACTTAGTATGGCAAAGAAACGTGCATGTCATCTTGCTCATTTCAAAGCTTATTTCCAGCTAACTTGCTAAAAAAGACCATGAAGTATCATAAAAGTGAAGCCACTGAATGTTACAGTCATTTTACAGARCAACACTTAATTTTACTGTGTTGAGCTGAACAATGGAAGGAAACACAATGAAATACTGTATTTAAAGCTCTTCAGAAAGATCCGTTATCTTTCTGTGGATAAGAAGCTATTATTGATTTCAAAAGTGTTACTGAAATTCCATTTTTAGCAATAAAATGCACTGCATTTTTATCAGAAAGGGTAATGCATTACACTGATGCAACCCCACCCTTAACATTGTTCAAAGGTATGCAGTGAGTAGAGGCTGGTGGCTTCTTAATGAAAGRGAAGCCTTTCCAACATTGATCTCACTAACTGAATGGGGCTTAAAACAGATTTCTTTTTAAATTTCTTTTTTAAAGTATTCTCAGAGACAAGACCAAATACTGTATCCCTAAAATATGCAAGGTAAAATCCACTCACAGCTTGTCTGCAATTCAATATGTGGCCCATTATATGTTGGTGTACAAGTGCATTTTCAAAGATGAAGGAAAGTCCCTTTCAGAAGCAGATACAATGACAACTATTTCCTAATGAAATTCACTAGAATAAARAATAAATAAATAAATAAAAAGCCTGACACTCGTTTACTTCTTCTCATRGCTAAGATGAGCAGCAATTTGTTTGCAGATTTATAGGCAGAGAGAACCTATAGGCATTTTAACCTCTTTTGAACCTTAAGCTACACACTCATTATTTCCTGGCCTACCTTCCTAGTGTCCTAGGCTCGGCATAACTCTCCTCCACACTCACCTGCTCTTCACCTCTCWCTTTTTATAAGATCTTTTAATGTCAATGATAACATGTTGACGTGCTCTTTATCTGACCAAGTCAAATGCTGTCTTACAAAAGAAAGACCACACCAAGGAGGSAAGTTTAACACCTCTCATTGGCACAGTACTGCGGCACTCATTCTCCTTGAAGCCCAGAACATTCACACAGGTGCTGAACCTTCCTCACAAGCTCTCCAAGCTCCTCTTCATCTTTCCTCTTGGACAGTCAGCTGCCACAAGTTACTGGCTTTTTATGTGCTGCCTAACAGATCTATACCATAGAGTTTGTAATTGTCCCGCTACACGTTACATTTTGATGGAGTGCCTGTAAATAACCCTGTTGTCGATAACAAACACAGCAGCAAATACTTATGCAGTTGGTTTGATGTGAGAAATGAAAAATCAATATAATATGCCCTTATTGTAGGGACCTGCAGGCAATAACCAATAGGATTGATTAACTTCTACACAATAGAAGATAAAGCCAATTACAAAACATATGGAACATCCCAGTATAGCTCCACATTTAAATGCAGCAGGGAATACAATGCAAGAAAATGCATTAAAAATGATTAGGAGATTCAAAAAAGTATTCCCGATGCAATGGTTTTATATATTCAGATGATCTGCCTAACAAGAACTTAAAAGGTTAATGCAGCATTGACTTGTGTTAAGAACTCCAGAAGTTTCTGCATCTAGATATCAGTTTACTATCTCCTCTATTAAGAGTACACATAAAAAGACATAAACAGTGTACGTGTTTTATTTCCCTAATGGCAAAATAACAACTTTATACACTCCAGCATATCTTTTATAGAATTTTCAATTAAACAGCAATCTCCATATTCACGTTATTCTAGTGAAATAGAGTAATTTTCTATTATTCTACTCCTGGATAATAATTTTCATATTTTTTTGTTTAAATATTTTTTTTATCAGCTCCAAGTAACATACCCAAAATGATATCTGAAGCAAAATAAGAATACATAGCGCGAGATGATCTATAATATGACATCTTCTGAATTTGCTGTTCTTGGGGATCAATTCATTTTGGTCAAAGCTCCYACATTACCTACACGTGCAAAACACACAATTATAACTGCTAGTTTAGAAGGGAGGAAGGTGGAAATCAAAGAATGAATGAAGAATGAATTTTTGCTCCTCTAAGCACACTCCTTAAGAGAATAAAACAAATTGAATTTCATTGCAATAATACACTTTTCATAGAAAATGAAGTTGGCAACAACAGCTACTTCTCTATAAGATAAGAAATATTACAAATATTTACATATAGGTCACATTCGTTTGTAAGCCATGATTACCGACACTTCTCCAAAGTTGTGAGAAATGCAAATAAAGTTTAGTAAGATTTTTTTTTCCCACTTTGCAATTAAMAAAGAATGTGACGGACAAGAATAAATTTTGGAGCAGGATAAACTTTGACACAGTGAAAGGAGAAGAACTCTTGTTGTTTCCCCTCCTTTGCTCAAAGCAATGGTGYGAGTCAGGGTGCTCTGCAATCCCGAGCAACCCTGACATGCCCTCAACTCCTTCGGGCAGTAGTTCACTGAACAAGAACGTTCTGGGAGCCTCTGAACTCRAAGAGGTTCAACTTGCCTCCTCGGTGCTGCTTTCCATGGGTGCACTCTTGGTCAGTCCCTCTGGGAACCATCCTTTGGGCTGTGTCCTCCAGGCTTCACCTACACCCAGCCCTTGCTCCAAGCTACATCCCAAGGGGCAGCACGAGACCTTCAGGGCTGGTGCTTCATACTGAAGACACAGCAAAGATAAAGACTGATGGCTCCAATTCATAACCACTTAATATCATCTTTATTTCTATACTTGGTATCTTCTATCATGCATCTATTATGCATTTTTTATTATGCAAGTATTTTAACTGCACGTTAAAGGAGGCCTGGAAGGCAATCAATGGTGTATATCCTTGTTTTGAACCATTYATATTTGATTTCTGTGTTCTAAATGTTTCCTGCTTTGACCATCTTTATTCTAGAAGAACCTTTTAAAGTGACACAGGTCAAACCAAGAGGAGGAAGAGCGGCAGTCCTGCACAGAGCTGACATGGGTAACTGGGCCATAAACTTTCTGCCTGCTCAGCTTGTTCTCCGGTCGTTGTCTCGAGCAGCCCATTAACCAACTTAGTCTTCAGGCCCCTTGAACATGATTTTGTAACTAGAGGCCATTTCTAACAGAAAGGTTTTAAGATCCAGCACTAGCTCTACCTCATATCAAGGAAGTACAGCAGGAGGACAACGTAGCACAGCTGAAGAGCATCAGAAAACTGAGCCTTATCTGGAGAAGTTGAACGGTGCCTTCCTGCTGAGGTCTAGCACAGCTTCCTGTTGTCGCTGCTCAGGACGTGGTCTGATGGTCTTACCCTGCAACACTAGACAGACACTTTCAAAGGGCTAAAACAAATCGGTGCTCTGTAACCAAAATAATAACAGTACCTGCATTCTGCTTGTGTGCAGAAATTCCTTAAGAGAACATAACCAAAATGAAATTCTATAGTATCTTTTCATAGGAAATGTATGCATCCTATGAAGGACAATTCCTCGCATGGTTTTGGGAGCCRCCTGCCTAATGAGAGCTCTGTATTCTTATGAAAAGTCCGGCCTCCTTCCCTTTCGATACCATCTTTCACTATGTGACTATCACCTTTTCAACTGCTACAATTCCCTCATCTGAAAGAACAGCCGAGCTTGTCAGCAGTCTAGTTGCAATGTCAGAGATTAGCTGAACTGCTCCCATTAGAGTTAATGGAGTTACCTACTAAATCCCTACCCGTTCAGTTGTCAGGTTTTTCTTAAGCAATAATATCCTTGCAAGCTTCCATTTACCCAAAGGTTTAAAATGAAGAAGCTACGTTTTTTTCCTCCTTTACCTTAGAGAAGCCAACGTATTTCCTTTGATATTTTCAAAATCTCCCTATCTCCTATCTATTTCCAATACATAAAATTTTCAGTGGCTTAGTGGATATTGCAATGATATCCAAAGAGCATAAAAATAGATTATCTTCCAGTGATTTGATGGAGATATTTAGTAGTAGAATAATATGCAAAACTGCAAAAGAGGTTCACTAGATTCCCTTTCCCAYGTATACATACATATCAA